TTACATTTGAGAAAAATAAAGACAATATAACTAATGAAAATATTTCTTTTAATTAATTTATTGATAATTAGTAAAAAAAAATTCACTGAATAAAGACATTGTAAGGATAATGTAGCAAATATAATCAATTAATAAATTTGAATATAAAGAATTTTTATATTGAAGAAAAATAAAGACAATATAACTAATAAAATTATTTCTCTTATTTAATTGATTGATAATGAATAATTTTTTTTTTTAATAAAGGAATTGTGGACACATAATTCTAAATTAAAGAAATGCATATGTATTATTTTTTGTTGTAGCTACTAAATTATTATTTATATATAATTTAATAAGAGTAAAATAGAGTACTAATTATGCCAACTTTGATTGGGATGAGGTTCGAACCTAAGACCTTTTTTTATTGAAATCAATGAGTAAGTTAACGGTGAACTAACGGCAATTCTTAAAATTTTAACGGAATTAGTAACGGTGTGTGGGTATTTTAAGAAATTTTAGTGTAAAATTTAAATCTGATCAATCTTTTAATTAATCTGAGCCATTCATTTGATTAAAATCTGTGACCGCCATTTTTTCTACCCATTATAGGCCTAACTCTCTTGGGCTCTTATTAGTATATATAGTAGATATATATATATATATATATATATATATATATATATATATATATATATATATATATATATATATATATAGATTTTCAATCATAAAAACAATATGGTACAATGTTTAATAATCATTATCTTTTTCCTTTACCCTAATTTTCTGTCTAGCAAATTAGTTATTTACTTATTAAGCACATTTTTTTAATTCGAGTCCATTTTTAATATTAATTTCGTTTTTCTTTTGGTCTGATTTTTGTGTCAATTAGTAACAGAATATTAATAACAAATTTCATTATTACAATTAATTCTTTAGTTTTTTTTTTTGAATTAGAATAATGATAATTGTAATTATATTAATTAATTAATTGTATGGATTTTTTTTGCAATGAGATACAGATCCACTAATATGCAATGTACCCAGATGTGTTTTCCTGCCTCAAAGCCTAATGAATCATACACATGTTGCATCTTAAATGCACGTATATATAGACATTCAATTTTATTTTTTTTTGAAAATGCTAATCGATTCACTGATAGTTGAAGGTAGATAACAATACTTATAATATGAAATTAAACCTTTTGAAAGAATAATATGAAATTAAACTCAAATCCAAGTTATTTTACATCTATTAATCCCTAATTGAGATTATATAAAAAGGAAACATAGATTTAAATGATTTCATCTAAGAGCTTGTAAATATGGTGACTGCTTTAGTGTTTTTAGAGAGACAACGTGCTTTACCAATTCGCCAGGAAGAACCAATCTCATGCCGGTCTGGATCTCGCGGGAAGTGATTATCGGCTTCTTGTTGTAGTGGGCCAAGCGAGTCACCTCTTGGGCGAGCTTCAAGAAGATATCGTTGATGAAGCTATTCATGATGTCCAAACTGCAAAACATATTGAAGTACGTGAGAATATAGTTAGAAAAATGTAGAAAATTCATACAAAAAGAAAGCAGAAAGATGAGTTTGAGATTCTTTGATTGAAGAAGCTCTTGTATTTATAGGTAGAAAATACTAATTCAAAAGGAAAGTATAATAATTTATTTATTTAAGGGAAAGTATAATAATTTATTTATTTAAGGTAATAACATTATTATTATTATTATTATTATTATTATTATTATTATTATTATTTATTTAATTTCCATTTGACATTTACTTACCAAATAAGTTTTACTACAAAAGTTTTGGGGGGAAAATTTGTTAGGAGGATTTTACTTTTATATATATATATATATATATATATATATATATATATATATATATAGATAGATAGAATATAGATATAGATTGTAATTTATTCCATAATATATTTTTTGTTTTTTTTCTTCCATTTTTTTTTATCCTTTTGCATTGCGAGTTTGCACACACCACCACCACCACCACCACCACCACCATAATATGTTTTTTTTTTTTTTTTTTTTTTTTTTTTTTGCACACAGCAACATTTAACACCTTATTATTAGAAAAAAAAAAAAAAAAAAAAAAGGAAAAACGACACTTTTTTTCCTAAGTTATATACTTATAGCACTTTTTCCCCCTGAATTATTCATGTAAGCACATTAGCCCTCTCAATTATTCTAAAAGTGGTGATTTTTCCCCTTGATGTATTAAATTGACATTTCTACCCCTTAAAGTAAACATTTTAATTATTTTTCTTCTCCAACAAATTATTGCGTATAACGTAGGGATGACCACGGAATGGACCTAGACACTATAACAATCGAATTAAAAGTTTCCGGTTATGATTCATATCCAGAACCCAATATTTGGATTTCAATTTATTAAAATTATGAATCAAAAAAACTGGATCCTGAACCGTGAACTGACGATTCCGGATCTGGTTCGTGATTTTGAACTATCTTTATTTAATTTTTTTTTAAATAATCTAAATTCAAAAATAAATGTATTTTTTTTTCAATTAGGAACATGAACCCGCCGTTTCGGTTTGCGATTTTAATAAACTCTAAATATCGGGTTTCGATTCTAAATTGTAATTGGAATATTTCGGTTTGGTTGCTATAGTGTGTGTTTGGTTTGAACCAAATTGTGGTCATAATTTGTTGGAGAAGAAAAAAATGAAATATTTATTTTAAATATTTATTTTAAGGGTAAATATGTCCATTTAACATTTCAGGGGGAAATACAACCACTTGACTAATTCAGTGGGGAAAAGTGCTATAAGTATATAACCCAGGGAAAAAAAGTGTTATTTTCCCAAAAAATACGGTATTGATTTTAAAGATTGTGATTTTAGTAGGGTCTCATTTATTTATCAGAACGGTGCCACAAAAATATAAAAACCGGCTCTGGTGACGAGTTAGAAAAATCTGCAGCAACGACTTAAAGAGTGTATATTAGGTAAACCATACTTTAATATATTTTATTTGAGTCAGACGTGCAAGATGGTGTCTTACAAATCTAGGATAGTTGTTTATTAGTTAGGATAGAAATCCTAATACTTATTACGAAAAATTTAAGAGTACCACTTTGAAATAAATAAATTGTTACTTTACTTTCAAAAAAATTGTTACTTATAATGAATATGAATATTACAATATTTATATATGAAATTGTGATATTATTTAAGGTAAAATGATTGTTACTAATGATAAATATTAGGGACACTTATAATTGAAATTGTGATAGTTATAAAGTGTAATTCTAGTATAATGTAAATATTGAAATATTTATATATAAAATGTTACTTATGAAAGAAATTATAATACTTATTGTAGAAAATTTAATACCAATTCAATTTGAATTAAAAATAAACCGTTACTTATGATAGATATTATAATAATAATTATATGTGAAATTGTGATACTATTTATGATAAAATCGATTTTTATTAAAAATAAATAATGTAATACTTATAACTAAATTTATGATACTTAGACACATATAGTTGTCTATGACTTGTCCCACAAACAATTGTCTAAAACCTCACCACGGACAAGGATTCGTGAGACCACGGTCCAACACAAGTTTTTATTTTATTTTTGTTTTGTATATTTATTCTTTTAATTCGTAATAAAGTTATTCAATTGATATATCTAATAGAAACATTATATTTTGTGGACAAGAGATATTACATTTTTCTTAATTAAAATGCAGTGGGTTTCTCAATTAGGGAAAAGAGGCATTTTTAGGTATGGTCTATTTAAGCTATTCATGATTACCTAATTAATTAAGGTGAAATGACATTTATAGGACTATCTTAGAGCATTCTTAATAGGGTTTTGGTTCATTTTTTCGAAAGAAAAAACCAACTATATATGTTGTTTTTGCACAAATAGAAGATGAATTAGTTTTTTAGTGTATATTTTTCTGATCTCCTGCAAAACCAAAACCTTTGTGGAGTCCACTAGATAGGAGAAGGAAACAAAACAAACTTGTTGAACTCGCGTGTGAGGGACAGATGCACCCAACTGCACGCGCCCGCTAAATGCGTTATGCCATGCTTTTTTTGTTGTCCGTTTTTTTTTATTATTTTTTCCCTCTTTCTTCTTTCCTTCTCTTTCCTACATGTATTTGAAAAAAGCAACAAAAGATTCATACTAATGAGGATACTAAGACTTTTCCCATTGAAATTGATTGTGGGTATCAGTCTACAGAATCCACCTGTAAATACCATATATATTTCATTCACTTTGTAAAGTTATCAAACCGGCCATTAATGTATTTTAATTCTTTCCTTCTTTATTATAGAGCTCCCTACATGTTGCATACGAGTCCACATTCATTTGTACAATTATTCAAATTGCATTTCCAAAATAGCCATTAATACATTTTTCCCACTAATAAATCACTCTTTTAGATATTCTTTTTAATATATTTGTTTTTATCCTATTTAATTATTATTATATGGTTCTTTATTAACTTATCGTAAGACCAACCAATTCATGGGTAACCAATGAATATATTAATATAGGATTAAATTTTCTTAAAGTGAAATAATTCAGCATCCAAATTAAAAGTGTCATATTCCCTAAATTATTAAGACTAACCAGAGTAATTTTATTTAATTATTATATGATTCTTTATTAACTTATCGTAAGACCAATCAATTTATAGGTAACCAATGAATATTAATTTATAGTGATTAAATTTTTTTAAAGTTAAATAATTCAGCAACCAAAAGTGTTATTTTTCCTAAATTACTAAGACTAACCGGAGTAATTTTTTATTTTTATTTTTTCACTAAAAGCCAGCCCATTAACAACCAACTCATGCACATAAATAGCAAAATTTTCCTAATCTAGATTTAGTGAATTCTAAACGATATTAATGCATACCGTACCATAAAAATCCACTAAATGGGAATGAAAAATTGCCATAAAGTCTCTTCATCAACCGGTTCCACACTCCATTCTGCTTAGATCTATTTTTCATCTTTCTTCTTCTTCTTCTCTCTCTGGATCAGAGCAGAATTGAGAAGATATGGAGGAAGGCAGAAATGGCGAGGAAAGGTTGGGTGGAGAAGAAGACGAGAGAAAGGTAGAATCAACAGAGCGTGTGTTTGAGAAGGTAGAAATCCCTTCATGGAAGAATCAGCTGACCATTAGGGCCATGTTTACCAGCCTGGTCCTCAGCGCCATCTTCAACTTCATCGTCTGCAAACTCAACTTAACCACCGGCGTCATCCCTTCCCTGAACGTCGCCGCCGGCCTGCTGGGCTTCGCCGTCATAAAATCATGGACCGCCCTTCTTCTCAAGGCTGGGCTCTTGAAACAGCCCTTCACCCGCCAGGAGAACACCGTTATACAAACCTGCGTCGTTGCTTCTTCCGGCATTGCTTTCAGCAGTACGTCCCCTTTCTTTTCTAGTTTTTTTTGGGATAACGGGGAAAACCCACAATTTTTTCGGGTGTGAGTAAACCCTATTTGTGACTATAGTTGAAAAAAAACAAGGAAATAAATCAGTCCTGACCATAGTTGGCAAAAGACCACAAATAAGTAAATTAGTCGTGACCGGTTCAAATCAATGGGGCAAGGCGGGTGCGTGTGAGTAAACCTTACTTGTGACCGTAGTTGAAAAAAGACAACAAGAAAATAAATCAATCCTGACCATAGTTGGCAAAAGACCACAAAGAAGTAAATTAGCCCCGACCGGTTCAAATCAATGGGGCAAAGCGGGTGTGAGTAAACCCCGTTTGTGACCTTAATGGCAAATAAAGTAAACCAGTCTTGCTAGGTTACCTATAGCTAGGGGTCGTAAGGATTTGAACTTGTGACCTTAATTATATATATGTATGTGTGTGTGTATGTATCTGTGTTTTTATCAATTTTTCGAGATGGTATATGTTTATAAAATATTAAGAAAAAGAGCTATGATAACATTCATGGGATATATCAGCTTCGTTTTGATTTTAAAAACATGAACAAAATTTCAAAGATGAGAAATTTAGTCAACTCATTTCATGGAGAAAGGAGTGTGTTTAATTTGTAAATTTTGATATATTTGGAAATTAATTTCATATTTTTTGTGTCCAAAAATAAAATAATAAGATTTGATTGAATCTCGGATGTTTATTTATTGTATAAATTACTATAGGTGGCATATTCCTTGATTATGATTTGAACCCCACATTCATGGTAATAATATAATGATATTCAATAATTATTTAAAATTTCTATATATAATTTGTTATTAATTATTTAATTCGATTCGATTCGATTGTACTTTTTTTTTTTTGAAAATAATTCGATTGTACTTATAATGCAATAGTACCCATATAGTTTGAAAAAAAAAAAAAAAAAAAAAAAACCCTTACATAAAAGTTCAATAGCACCACTTTTACACTAAGAATAAACTAAATAACCATGCTAGCCGGGTTGGACTTCCATTTGGAAGGTTGTAAGTTCGAGCCTCAGTGGAGGCGTTATTGGCTCTTTGTGTTTCAGTAGGTTGAGAAAGTATATGAACAGATACTACAATGTAATAGAGCTAGTAGCATTCAAAAAATAACCATGCTAGCCTCCCTTGCATTTTTCACCTTATTTGTTTTACCATCTATGTATGAAAATATTTTTCACCAATAAAAACAATTTGACTATTCAACTTTTTTTTTTTAAATAATAATTTAGTGAGCCTTTTAACTTAGTAATATCAATAAAGGGTGCTTAGGGGCGGACAAAATTATGGGGAACAGTCATTTTCCTTAACCTAATATTTAAAAAAAAAAAAAAACAAAATTATTTTCCATCCTACCCCTATTGATGCATTCCCATCTGATAAAAATTAGACCAAAATATAAGACTTAGGTTATATCTACACTTATAAGCTAATTTGTATGGTGTAATTAGGACATGAGTTTGTGTTACCTTTAACAATATATATATATTGCTCATAAAACTTTGTGTTAAAAGTAAAAATGATACACATACATTCTAGGTCATCTATAGCAACATAGAAGACCAAATCCTTATTGTCAAAATTGTTAATGAGAAATGTTTTGAAATCATATCAGGTGGGACTGCAAGTTACATGTTGGGCATGAGCCCAACAATTGCAGCACAGGCAGAATCAGGAAATATTCCCAACAACGTGAAGACACTTTCTATTGGTTGGATGCTTGCCTTTCTCTATGTTGTGAGCTTTGTTGGTCTCTTCTCAATTGTGCCCTTGAGAAAGGTAATCAATTTATTTATTTATTTTTTCCTAATTCATATTTTATCTTAGCTTTCTGCTTGCTTAGCTTGTAGAATATTTCTCTTCTGAAATTGTTAGGATCAAACGCTTTGCTGAACTTGACTCTCTTAGTCCCAGCCCTTCACCAGCCTCTGCCCAACGATTCCCCCTCTCACTTGACTCTAATACCATTTGTTAGGGTCAAGTGTTTATCACTATAACTCTCAGCGAAAGTGTAACTTTATTTTCTTATACCTGGCCTTCACATTTACGAGAGGAGACTTAGCTTGGCTCTTCACCGGCCTCTGCCCAACAATCTCCCTAGCTACCAATTGCTGGAATTTTCCACTCTACTAAATTTGAATAGAACACATGACAGGGAAATCAACAAAAAATTTTGAAAATAGAATAAATAAAATATGTTTTAAAAAATAATTTTTTACAGAAAGTATTGAAGTCCTTTTTATAATTTTTGTAAGTCATTTTATTGATGCAACGTAGACTAGCTACATTTTATAGCTAAGTTATGCTGCGTTTTCACCATTATTTTTCTTTTTCAAATATCTTATGAAATTGGTTAATTATGTTTTTAGATGATGATATTGAAATACAAGCTGACATATCCCAGTGGTACTGCAACTGCTTACCTTATCAATAGTTTTCATACTCCCAACGGTGCAAAGCTTGCAAAGTAAGTCCATACAATATATATATATATATATGCTTATAAATTAAGATCTCCAAATTAAATGATGTTTTATGGTAGCTGATACATTAATTATTTGTGTTAATGGAGGCAACAAGTGGCAGCCCTCTTCAAATGCTTTAGTTTTAGCTTTTTATTTGGAGGCTTCCAATGGTTCTTTGCTGCTGATGATGGTTGTGGCTTTTCAAGCTTCCCAACCTTTGGCCTCAAAGCCTATGCTCAAAGGTAACTTCTTAATTAATAATCTGGGACTTAAATTATATATATAATTATTATAATTATAATAAAAATGGAGTTTTTTAAACATGTTTTATTTTGTTTTTGAGAAATCCGATGATGATGACAATGCTGAATCATTCATTTATTCAGATTCTACTTTGATTTCTCCTCAACATATGTTGGTGTTGGGATGCTGTGCCCTATTATGGTCAATGTTTCATTGCTTATTGGAGCCATTATCTCATGGGGGATCATTTGGCCAATCATTCACACAAAGGAGGGTATTTGGTACCCTCCTAACCTCTCTTCATCTAGCCTTAAGGGCATCCAAGGCTACAAGGTAAGAGGGAATTTCATTTTATAAGAAAAGATTATGGTCCTGTTTGGTAAATAGATGTTGGCTGATTGAGTTAGTAGATTTGATTAATCGATAGTATTTGTTGATTGTAAAAAGTTGTTTGATAAATTAGTTGTTAGCTGATAGTGGATTATATTCAAAATTAATGACTTTCTAGGAAAGCTAATTGAAATCATTGAGCAACTTTTTGAATATTAGCTTTTTGGAGCAATAAATCGTTATAAAAAGCTAATTGATCCAACATTTATATTGATTGTTTAACAAAGTCAAACAACTAATAATGGTTAAACAAATCAAAATTAACTGCTAACTATTTTACCAAATAGGTTCTATATTTTTTATTTTGAAACTGAACACGGTATAACTCACTGATTGAATAGAACCACGTACAGTCACTATTTAGCTATGTCTCGGGACTGCATTTTATAATTATGAATTAAGAGGATGAAGTGGCACATAATTAATCATATGCATGTTTTTGATTGGGTTTTAATAGGTTTTTCTTGCTATTGCCATGATGCTTGGAGATGGGCTTTTCAACTTTTTTTACATGATGGTGGTGACGGGTCTAAGTTTCATGAAGCGCCGCCGGTCGGAAAAGAACGGCCCTGCATCTCTTCTCCCCGTCGACGACGAGTTTAACAAAGGTAAAGGTGCCCAACTTGAAGACTTCGACGGGCAAAGAAGAACCCATAACTTCTTAAAGGACTCCATCCCCAACGCCGTCGCAGTCGGAGGATACATCGCCCTGGCGGCCGTGGCAATCATCGCCGTGCCCTTCATCTTCCCGCCGCTGAAATGGTACCACATTGCGGTGGCGTACGCCATGGCTCCCATCTTAGCTTTCTGCAACGCCTATGGCTGCGGCCTCACTGATTGGTCCCTGGCGTCCAACTACGGAAAAATTGCGATCTTGATTTTCAGTTCTTGGGTCGGCCATGACAACGGCGGGGTTCTCGCCGGGCTGGCGTCTTGCGGGGTGATGATGAGCATCGTTTCCACGACCTCGGATTTGATGCAGGATTTCAAGACTGGGTTAGTCTTCTTTGTTGTTTTGTATCACTGATGGAAATTATGGAATTTTTGACCACCTGATTTTAAAGTCAAAAGTCTTATTCCGACCAACAAACCTTTATTGCTATTTCTGACCACTTCAGGTGGTCGGAAATTCCATAATTTTCAGCAATGTACCTTCTGTATAACTTTCTTTAATGCAATTCATTCTACTTTTTCACAGGTATTTGACCCTGGCTTCGCCTCTGGCCATGTTCTTCAGCCAAGTCGCCGGAACCGCCATGGGCTGCACCTTGACCCCTCTGGTTTTCTGGATTTTCTACAAGGCGTATCCCTTGGGCGACAGCAACAGCGCCTACCCCGCCCCCTACGCCGCCGTCTATCGAGCCATTGCCCTGCTCGGAGTCGACGGCTTTGGCTCCCTCCCCACCAACTGCCTAAACCTTGCGATCGGGTTCTTCGTTGCGGCCATCGCGATCAACATTTTTAGCGAGGTGTTGAGGAAGTATGAGACCAAGTACAGGGTTTACCGCTTCATTCCTAACCCGATGTGCATGGCGATTCCGTTCTACCTCGGGGGGTATTTCGCCATTGACATGTGCGTTGGGAGCTTGATTCTGTTTGTTTGGCGGTGGAAGAACAAGCAGCAGGCCAAGGATTTTGGGCCGGCGGTGGCGTCTGGGCTGATCTGCGGCGAATCCTTGTGGGGAATTCCGGCGGCTATACTTGCTTTGGCCGGCGTTAAAGCTCCCATTTGCATGAAGTTCTTGTCGGCTGCGGCAAATGCTAAGTTGGAGAGCAGTTGACCTAAAATAAGTTCGGTATTATTAGTTGTTCGTTGTTTAATTTAGGGGGGAATATATAATATTTATTCATCTATTAGTTCTTGTTCCATCAAAACCTTTGCTGGTTGGTTTAAGTTAATTTGTCTTTCAAGTGGAGTATATTTATCTCTACGAAATAAATTAGTAATTGCGTTTGTGTTATGAATTTATGTGTCTTTGTTGTGAAATTATGTACCTAAATCAAGTTTGAAAAATAAATAAATATATAACATGTGTATGTATGTCTTGTGTTGTAATTTTTTATATTGTATCTTGTATTATGAAATTCAATACGAGTATGAATTCAGTACCTCATCATTTTGATAGTCCTAGATCATGATATAAATAACCAAGAGAAAAGAAACAAGTAACATTTGTAAAGTATATGACCATTAATGTACAATCTAACTATCAGCTTAGACTTTTAGTGCACATTCTTCGTCAAAAGTCATGGATTTGACTCTCCGCAATGCATAGGAAGCATTACAGCAGAATGGTCAAAAGACGAGTATAAATAATTTCATTCAATTCGTTCAAAATGCACAACTTCTCATTTAAATACATAAAAGTACTGTAAAACACAATAATATAATTAGTTAAGACTAACAAAGAATGCCGTCAACAATAATGTTCATTCTGGAGATCAAAGTATATCCCCGAGAATTCAATAGCCTCTTCCTCTTCCTCTTTCAGTTAGGTTCATATATTCTCATACTTGTGTGGTTAAACCATTATGCAATGGTTTCTGATAATTCCTGCTTCCAACTATGTTTTCACCATTCTATCGCTTCAATTACATCTCCTCTTCAATTCCTTCGAAATCACTCACATCGCTGAAAACTTGAGGTTCTTTCTTCTCTGCATCACTTTCGGTTTCCATGGCAACTTCAGAGCCCTCTTCCTCTTCCTCACTTTCATCATTGTCTTCGTAGATAAAAGGGACTACATCAGCACCACCACCATCTTCATCTGTGCCATAATCAATCGTCTGTGCAATAAAAACAAACGTATGAGCTAAAAGTTAAGTATTCTACTCTCATAACGAATTGATGTCCAAATAAATAAATAAATAAGAGAATTGGATTAAATTGGTAACAACACTTACTCCAGCATAGAGCAAATCTAAACTACTGGCTAACTGAAGAGCTTGGCTTGAAGTAGAAACACGGGATTCAATGAGCTGCACATTGCACAAATTGATAGTAAGCGCTCAAAATATGTTCCCTTCCCAAATTAGATTAAAGCTATTTTATTATGACATCTAGTGGAAGAATTAACTTTCTTTTTCTTTGGATGACGAGGGAAACCCCACAACCCTTTCGAGTGTGAGTAAACCCCGCCTTGACTTTAGCCGGCAAAGGACCACAATGAAATAACCAGCCTAGATCATCCATAGCTGACCGGCTCAAACCAAGGGGGCAAGGATTCAAACTCGTGACCTTGTGGTAACAAGTGTGGATCTCTTGCCATCTTGGCTGGGCCAAAGTTTCAATTAGCAAACTGATATCCCAAAGTTTCTATTTTTTCTACATTGTTAAGTTTCTCATATGTTCATGCAGATATTCCCCCACAGTTTTATTCCTTGTACAGATTAGCACCACCAAAGGTAAGATAGGTGTCTCCTCTGACCTGATACAAAGAATTGAGAGCAAGGAAAGAAGATTCTTGAGACATTATTCCACTTGAATGTTGAAGAAGTACACTTCTCAGCCAAGGAAGGGCACAAGCCAATATAGCACCCCTGCAAAAGAAACACCTCAGATTATACACGCACTTGGATCTCTCTCTCTCAAAATCTCTCACTCGTGATCTTTTACCTTGACTCAATTATGGATACAAGGGACTGCAAAAGCTTGATAACATCAGATGGATTTAACAAAGAAACAGAATTTGCAATTACCTGCAGGAAAAATATAATTATTACAAAATCCACAAAACTTGTCACCAAAAAATAGCTACTACAAAGGGAATAGAAGACACAGTAGGACCTTCTCATCTTGTCTGAATAAACAATCTATCAGAAGGGCTCGATCATCGGCATGCAGTGCTTGCTTAAGCAGTACATGAACTGAATCCGCACTTGGAGGCTTTGTTTCTGCTGAAGGAACTAGTGGTCCATTAGCTTTAGCTTCATTTTCATCTACCAAATTGAGACTCGCAAGTTTCTCGCCCATAGTTGGCTCATTTAGATCATCATTATATTCAACTCCATTAGCAGGACTACTGTTACCTGCATATTATTGTCAACAATTCTGTAATGTCCATTGATGACAGAACGTGTGGCAGAGAAAAACAGAAGATAAATTTTAATTCTAACATCTAAAGGCTGTCCAAGTTGTACCCAACTAATCAGGATAGAAAATCCAGAATTTGGAAAAGAACATGATAGAAATTTCATAATGTGGAAAGTAATATTAAAGGAAAAGGTGGAATTCAGAAAAAAAAATAAATCATAACAGTAATCCATCCATGAAGATAATGGAGAAGAGAACCAAAAAGTAGGGCAATGTAAGAAAATGAGACGTACATGGAACAAACACCAAAATTAGGGTTTAAAATAAGTCGTGGACACTACATCGCCATTTATCCATTTCTTATATTGAAATCAGATGCCTGCTTATTTTTCTGTTTCCTTTGGGATTGAGCCCAGATACTTCTACTAGATACATAACATCTCCATCCTAATGTCCATTCCATGAAGAACATGTTTAAGCATGAATGAGAATTCACTACAGTCAATGAACTTATTTCTGCATCAATAACGTGTCTTGCAAAGAATCATAACTTTTAACTTCCACCTAAACTCCTTGAAAGAAAAGCTAGGCAACAACATATTTGCAAAATATGTTAACAAATCCTAGACATCATAACTGAGAAACTACCACTAGCCAGCAAGGAGTAAAAAATGTCAATTACCTTCAAGAACAGATTCTTCACCATGAATTCCTCTTTCTTGAGCAGCAATCGTATTCACAAACTGACTGTCTGCAGCTATGACAATATCCTCCCCTGGGGTAGCAATGTCTACCATTGTAAATTGAGGAGAGTCAATAGAACCAAATGCAATTCGCACATGCAATTGCTCACTTTCCTCTAATAAATCTAGCCTGGCAGCTATAATGGGAACATGACTTTTTTTGGCCTTTCCACTTCTTTGCTGATCTAGTTGGCCTTTCTTGCCCTTCACAGTGATCTTAGTTGCATTTACAGTCTTGTCCGCGGCAGACTTTAAATTCCAAATATAACATACACATGCCTCAGAAAGTGAGAGGACAACTAGACCATCTTCTCCTCTGTTCTTGCATTCAAATATTATTGGGGAATCTTTCATTGATAGAATGGGCCCGCTACTTACAACCGCTCCACTAATATCGGCCTTACAAACTTGAAGTTGTTTTCCACCATTCCCAGAAATGACAATGAACTTGGCACCATCTGATAGTGAAATGCGATGCACAGGAGCCTGCAGCAATACACCCAAAAACTGATTAATGTTGATAGTTTAAAAAGCACGCATAACAATAGATTAATTCAGAGAACTTACCAAGTCAGAGGAAAACTTAACCAACTGTTTTCCAGTTTCCATGCTCAAAATCCGCACCCTATCACTAACCACAGCCACAGTTCTCTCATCTTCATTACAACAGGAGATGCATCAAACAAAAGTCTATAGTTTATCAGGAAAAGTTAATATAATGGCATACTCACCGGATGAATGTGCTGATGAGGAGATGGACTTCTTTGAAAGTCTGATCTCTGTTATATGTTCACCAGATGCCAAATTCATTTCAAATGCCACACCATTAGAGCCAATAGCACATAGTCTAGAGCAATTATTGGTGAAGAACAAACTAGAAATTCCACTGTACAACAAAGCAAAATAATAAGAGAATTGTTGATACTATCTGGTGCATTCAACAGCATCCAACGAGCTAAAAACTGGGATTTTGAATATTGTCCAAGGGGGCTTCCTGAGAACTATTCATTCCTCTATATAATGCTTATGATATGAAAAATGAAAAATAAAGAACACATACAAAACAACATACCCAGGAAAGGATCCAGTAGATCTCCACTTCATAGCACCAGCAGAAATATCTATGGCTAAAACATCTCCATTCTCTGTGCCAAGGACTACTACGCAATTTCGTCGCTCTTTTTTTCGCTGAAAAATGAAAATAAAATTAAACAAAGAACAATCATAACAAAAGTCTAACATCAGATAAAAAGTTCAAAATAATGAAGTTTTTCCTAATGTGCATGAGCTACCTTCTTTCCTGCAAGGCAACATGCCATACAGGAAAAACTATCTCCAGAATTCTCATCTGATTTTTTCCACTCAGCAAATAAACTTCCATCACTTGTGTTCCATACCTGCAAATAGCAAATGCATTATATGCTGTCACATTGGGCAAGGAATATGCATGTGTTATTTCCAAAAGGGGTAAATAATAACAGCAAAGTATGCATACATGTAACTATGTAAGTATTGTAAAACTATATGCAAGGCTATAGTACAATAGCAGTTACAAAAAGGAAAAGTCCAAGCACAAGCACTTTCACTCTACAACACTACCAAATCCAGGTCCCCCAACAAAAAACCTTCCCAAGACCACTTGTTTTAAGAATTTCAAAAAATTGCATCAGGACACAGATAGGAGTATATGATTCACTACACTCTCCCCAAGTCCCAAGTTTCAACTTTTCAGCATTTCCTACCATTGGATTAATCTTAATTGACAAAATTTAAAGGAAAAAAAAAAATCCCAACATAATATTCTCTGCCAGGTTGAATGCCTAATTAATTTTTTTTTTTTTTAAAATAGCATTTGTTGCAGCAATCAAATAGAAACCTAAGCGTATCTAAACCCGGAATAGATCAAGAATAGAAAAATCGATGGGTGAAATCAATTACATTATCAGAAATCACAAACATCAATCATTATTCATTACCACGTAGTTATGTATGCAAAAACAATACCATATTTAGAAGTAATCTGTGTGCATAATTAGGATAACAGATGATTGGTTTCGAGTATGTATCATGGGGAAAAAGAAAAGAAAAGCAAAGCAAAAAACATCGGCAGAAAATCGACAAAGAAGCAAGAGAGC